AGTCAGGTACTTTTTTTCCCATGTTGACCCCAGGCCCAATTTCAAGTCATTTTGAGTTCTAATGGAACACCTATTGAAGGTTGGTTGGTTGTTTTTGCTTTAAGAGTGAGAAGGGTAGAGACATTTTGACCAAGATCACGGTGACGCTTCCTTATAGAAGCTACCAGGGAGAGAGTTAATATCCCCAAAGAGTAGATACAGCCCTAAATACCAATGTCTTAACTGAAAGACTTCCATGAAATAAATTGCATGAGACCCCATGCATCTGTCTCGGAGATGAGGGGTTGAGTTATTCCTTCTGGGATTCAGACCTGTGGTTCCAGGGAGCCGTCTTCTTTCCATTTAAGTACTTGAAGTTCTAGTCATTTAACATTAAGTGTCATCTGTGAAAAATGCGATGAGTTTTGCAGTCAGATGATCCCACAAGCTGTGGGGCTGGGTGACACCTCACTCACTGCCTCCAAATTGTACTTCATCACATAGAAACGTAAGTCACCAACAGGACAGGAATATTCTGCTGTTCTCCTGGTTAAAGTTCAAGATTGGGAATTGGGAGGTGGTTTTATTTTTGCCTCTGTCCCAGACTTCCTGTGCTGCTTTTTTTTCCAGTCTGTCAAGTGGATGTAACGCTGTTCTCCCAAAAGTGGTGTGGGGCTTAATTTGTTGTCTGTAAAGTGCTTGGAAATCCCTTGGTAGGCAACAGAAATGCAAAGTTTTGTGCTCACAACAGGTCTGCTCCATGTGAATGACGGAGAGGTTTTGTATTGCACCACTTAGGAGCGACACTCGGCCACTAAAACACAAGTGGAAGCCCAGCCCCTTCATGGTTATCCAGCGAAACGCCTCGGTCCCCAACTTGAGGAAGCAGGAGGAGAAGCTGCTTGCCTTGAAGAAACCTGGTTTACCTGCCCTGAGTCGGACTACGGAGCTTCAGGAGGAGCTGAGTCACCTGCGGAGCCAAATAGCTAAAATTGTAGCTGGTGATTCAGGTAGGAGTGTAATGGCCCTTCTTTGCTAGTGAGGAGACCTGAGCAGTGATGATCCCAGCATAAAGCTGCTGGTACTGATCACATACTGTATTAAACATTGTCAGTATTTTCTCTTCATGTCTCTAGTATGGGATTTGTGACAAATACATGTGCTGTGAAAGAGCCCCAATATACATAGCAGAACCTCTTACACATCTCGCTGTGCCTGCTACGACTGAGTTGACCATCGTAGGAGTTTTGGCTAGCAGGGAAGTGGTGTTTGTTCTGCTTCCTAAATGCCAAGAGTGTTAAAACACAAATGTGACTGTTTAAAACATCTAGAGTGAGGAACAAGAATGGCATAGAGGATCAGAGATGTGATTAGCACCAGTGACTCCACATTTCTCCCTGTTATTTGTTGTCTGGGGGTGACCTCTTCTGTTGCTGGTTAGAAGGACCTGAACTTCATTTAGGTGCTTGCCTTCGCTTAAATGGATAAATCCTGTCTAGTTTGAAAAGGAACCAAATATAACTGTGAGAGCTGTTACTGTATCTGAGAGAGAGGAAGGGGATTGAGTCTTCCGTTGCAAAGAAGTGTAGGAT